GAAATTCATCTCCAAATGAAGATTTTCTCTACTCTAGTGATGCTGGAAATAATCTAATTATTGATAAATTATATTTTATTTAAGAGTTTTATAATATTTTACACTCACCAATTAACGATAATTATATGGGTGGCATGACAGCTCTACCAAATTTGTATATATTATTGTAATTGCAAACAGCCATCAAAGTCTATACAAGTCTTTATATATTATCGTAACTGTTTTATTTTTAATTTACTATGAACTGATTTAAATTAATTAGATCTATAATCAATTTGATCCGAGGAATCGATAATTATAAGTACAAGTTTCGTTTTCTTGTAAACTGTATGTGGCCTCAGCCTCTTGGCCCGAGTTTCTATCCGTATCTAACATCTATGCTTATTTCCAAAAAAGAAATAATAAAGAACTAGCAGCCCCCATATATGTATATTCCAAAAGCTTAGTAGGAGAGTGATAGGGACGGCGTTCTAGTTTGGCAGGCTAGCTATATGAAGTTGAACGAACCAAGTCTCTGGTATGCTCGTTGTTGTTTAGATCTGAAATGCTTCCTTTTGCAAATTGACCTAATTTATTAGCAAGTGGCACCTGTAAGCAATATTAGGTCTGTTTTGGACAAGTTTTAGCATCTTTCTTTACCATTCTTTTCACCGGTGGTATATGTACGGATGGTAACGGGTCGGGTTCGGGCCGGGTATTGATCTCCCGTCCCCATCCCCGTTTAAAAAATCCGTACCTGTCCCCGCTTAAAAATTGCGGGATTTAAACGGGGATCCCCATCGGGTAATCGGGGAAAACCGCTGGGAAACGGATATCCCGTTTAGCATAAACGGTTATTTAAACGGGTATCGGGCCGGGTATATATATTTAAATTAAATATATATATATTATATATATTTTTTTAATTTAAATTAAATTTATTAATATTATATATATATAAATTATTTTTAATATTATCGAGCTGGTATCGAGCCGAGTAATCGGGGCTGAGATTACTAAACTCGTCCCCATCCCTGTTTAACATAAACGGTTTTTCCTCGTTCCCGTCTCCGTTTAACATAAACGGTTTTTCCCCGTCCCCGTCCCCGTTTAACATAAACGATTTTTCCCCATCCCGCTTAATTCAGTTTTCGGTTTTCTCCATCGGGTTCGGGTTTTTTTGTCATCCCTAGGTATATGGTTAATATTTAGTTTTTTTTTGCCCAATAGGGTAAACTGTTTTATTAATTAATCCAATAAAATATATAGAAGTTTATTTAGAAATATACGATATTTACTACATTATTCAAAAAGCTCGGCACGTTTAGGTGACAAGATTTGTCTAAATAATATTTTTTTATTTAAATTCACCATGTCAAAGTGACGAGTTTCAATAAAACATATCTTTTTAATTAAATTTTATCAAATCGGACTAAAAAGTTTGAATAAAATAATATTTTTAAAACTCGTCATCTCGATGTGATAAATTTCAAGTCACTTTAACAAATGCCGTAGATCCCTAAAAATACTTCTATGTCTTATTAGACTGATTAATTAAATTGTTTGCCTATTGACAAAAAAAACCAACAGTTTTTTTAGTAAATTATTTTTTTATCTTGTTAATTTTTCAGAAAATGTACCCATCCATGTTGACTTGACACAAATTTTGGTAATTAAAGTTATTTTAAAATTTTATCATAATTACGTTTGAAAATAAAATATAATAAATGAATTAAAATACTAATTCTGATTAATTTTTTTTAAAAAAATGTTTGCTTTTCATATAAAGATATTTATGTGATTGATGCGGATTGATGCATATTTATTTGCATGTCTATATGTTATTCAATATTTTCTTAATAAAAATATCATTTTAAAAATATTTATTAGTATCTTATATGAACTATTATTTGATATATTAATAATAGAACTTATTAGTTTGATCACAAACAAGATTAAAGAATTTTCATTAATCATTGTTTGATATTTAAAAAAAATAACAAATGAAATAGATAGATCAAACACCAATTGTAATAATGGTAAGCGACAACGACACATCTATTTGAGCAATATAAAATTTAAAGCCAACGGCGGAGCCACATATATTTGAAGGTGGAATGTGCCCACCTTAAAATTTAAAATTTCTTCAGTTAATTTCTTATTTTACTAATGTTGCCACTGGTAAGTCTAATAATATTTTTTAGAATGGGCATACATATACTAATAATAGATTTTTTTTGTATGAGGGCATGCACAAATGAAATTTTAGAGTGAACATCTTGAGTAAAATCAAGAACGAACATAAAGAAATTCGGATTTTAGGGTGGGCACATGCCCATCCTAATATACACGTAGACCGCCATTGGATACTGCCCACCTTGAAGTCTTATTTGTGTCAACCCTAAAATTTTAATTGTATCACCCATTCGAAAAGCTTATGTTGGTAGTTCATGTGTATCCATCTTAAAAAATATTTGAGGATTCGTCACTACCTAAAACGGATGACATTTATTGCTACACATCCTATCATACATACTTTAGAATGAACGTATAATGAAAATATATAGAATGACACATGAATTTATCATCCGATCTCTCACTCATCGAGCATGTCTTTAGGCATATCGGGTGATAGACAATAACCCGTGATATTTTCACTTAAATTTTCAGTTCCACATTAAATCTTGAAAAAACAACTAAAAGGGAAAACGAGAAGATAGTTTAAATGCGACTAAACTAGAACAAAACAAAATGACTTTTTTTTTTTGGCGTCGTACTCAATAATTAATCAAACAAATATAGTATAGTTTTTAAAATATAAACAAGTCATGATGGATGGATCTATGCATGTAACGTATGGCATGATGGATGGATCTATGCATGTGACGTATGACATGATGGATGAATCTATGCATGTGACGTATGGCATGATGCATGGAAACAAAAACAAATAAGGGTGATCAACTGGTTGGCATGATTAAAAAAAATTAAATCTTTTAAGACGTGCATGTTATGTGCATTTGCGTTAGTCGCCGACCAAGTAAGCTCTTTTACTATTATTATTATTATTTTGTTTTCCCTTAACGTACACTAATTAATGAGCTGTATTAGCCGTAGTTTAGATCTTAATGTTTATGTTATGTATTCCCCCCCCCCCCAATAATATCCTTTTATTCAAATAGTTTAGGATGATTAAAAGATAATATCTGTTCAAAATATTTATTAATTATAGATAATGTATATACATTTTACAAATATAGATGCTCGAATCTAAAATTTGAAAGAATAATAATTACTAAGGTCAATTAATAAGATTTTATAATAATTACTAAGGTCAATTAATAAGATTTTCAGCCCATAATTGACTTGCATTAATCCTCTGGTCCAATAAAAAATCTTTTGGGATTGATTTGGGTCAAACTTAAGTTTGGCAAATGCGGGAAAACAGATCAAATAAACTTGTAAAAGCATGCGGAGGGTCAAAGTAGACAGATTGGGACCTCCTTTTCCACCGCTAGGCGCTAGCATATGGTTTTATGCTACACAATTTTATTCCCTTCGAGATAATTCATGTTCAAAGCATTAATATATATTTATTAAATTCTTTTTAATTTAATTGTTAATTTTGATGAGATACATTAATTCAAATTTGAATTAAAGTATATTTTTAACATATAAAATCAAATTTTAAATAATTTTATATTTATTACTTAGATAATTAGAACTTGAGCTAGGAACGGTTAAAAGTCAGATTAGATCAGGTTTTTGATCAACACCACTCTATTTAAGAACCATACCTCATCTACTTTAATTTGACTTGACCTGAGTTGGGGGAGATCTCATCCGTCCTAAAACTCAACTTAAATTCGGTGATAAAACTCGCATCCTCGATCCAACATAAATATATAAAAAATTATTTTTATTTGACAAAATAGGGACCTAATTGGAGAAAAGTATTATAATAACTATCTTTAAATATATAAAAAATTATATCATTTTCTTGTGTCGGATCAGGTCAGATTTTTATATCCTAAATCCAAATTCGACTCGATCTCACCCTTCATAAAATTCGACCTAATTTGAGTCCAGTCTAATTAATTCAATAAGATCATATCCTATCAAACCTCATTCAATTTAAATCAAATTACCATCATTATATAAGACATGTTAAAAAATAGACATTTTTTTTAATTGTGTCATGTCCAAACTCTTCGTACAATAACTATGCATGTGTTCTAAATATGCATCATCATATCAGATCCGATAAGATATTTAGTGCCCAAGTTGTCTTTAGATCAATGAAGTGATCTAATTGATATAATACTAACTTTAATCAAACAACTGTAAAATTTAAAGACTAATTTAAAATTAGAAAGATAGTTTGAAGATGCCTGGTTGAATTAACCCTTTTATGTTCAAAATTAGGCAGATCTCATCGGAATCCCCCAACCGCAGGATGACTTTTGGTAAAAAATTCTGCCCATGAAGATTGGTTAAATTGAAAAAGAAGACAAGGAATCAAGTGTATGTTAAGAAAGCCTTAAAAACCCATTTTTTTTTTAATATATGAGAAGATCTAGCTCTAGGGTTTATATGTATTATATGCAGTGTGATACAGTCAGCAATATGTGTGGGATTTTCATACAGATACATGTCCAAAGTTTTTACTTTGATAGGAAGTGTTCAACTGGGGAATATGAAAATGTTGTTACTCCAATTTTATATCGAGCCATGCTGCCTTCTTTTTTGATTTTGGTCGGAAAAATTCATCTGATTTGAATGGAAGCCAACAAGAACGCCAAGTGTCAGCCTTTTGGCCTGCTTTACTGAGATTACATGTTGAGTGTGTTAATGCTTTGCTCTTTCCCCCAAAAAACCCAGTAGAAACCAAGCTACTTTCTTCACCCATATTGATAAAGAGAAATTGCCCAAAGCATCAAAAGTTTTTTTCGGTTCGTGAGTAATTTTGCCAACATCTTGGCCTTTTCTTCAAAAACCGAATCTTGTTTGAATTCTGTTCTTTTTGTAGTTTTTGGGTTTCGTGTGTAAATTTCATTACTTCCTGCATTTGACACAAGTTCCTTGCAATGTTTGGGTAAATTCCTCGGTAATTTCCCATTCTTGTGGCGGTGGTGAGGTGTTTGTGATTTATTTATTTTTACAGAAAATATAAGTAATCTGATATGGAGTGTTGGAATTTGGAGTTGTTTAATTAGATTTCCGTGATTTATTCTGGCAGATGTAGATTCCTCAGATTTCAGTTCCAAATTGTGAATAGATATTTATTGTTGTTGTTGGATGTTGATATTTGATGGTTCATTACTATAATACGTTTTATAATTTTTGTTATCCTTTTTCATAGATTCCCATACTCTGGAAGAATTATTATAATAATAAAGGTAGATGCTTGTTGTCTACCGTTTTGGTGGTTTCTTTAACTGATACCAATATGCTATTTTCCATTGCAGGATTTCAGCCTTCAACGGTAAAAGAAATATACATACTTATTTATTATATTTGATCAGTATATGTCAAAGTTGGAACTTGAAGCTTTAAGGGGCCTTAAAGGGTCCTGGTGATATGAATCTCTTATATATATATAAGGGGGAAACAAAGGAACATAGTAAACAGTGTGAAATAAATAAATAGTGGGGGGGGGAGTGGAGGTGAAGCAGATTGGTGCTTGTGATAATCTGTGGTTTTGGGAATTGTTTTAGTGTAAAGAGTGTTGTTTATGTCTCCTGAGTTGACCGAGTGCGCCCGGACTCGGTGGGCTTGCCGTTAGCAAAGGAAACAACCTCTTCCTTGGCTCTCTTGCCATTCAAGAGAACCTTTGTTAAATTATTACTCAAAGTCCCACCACCCTTCTCCAGTTATCTGTTTTGCTCTCTTATTCAGATCGTTGTCAAGATTCGGTCATACTCCTCCTTAGCATATATCCCGTTCCTTCCTCTGGGTCGGCCTTTAGTCTATAGACTCACGAAAACTGATTGAATTTGGAAAGCTTGGTCCCCACAGTTGGGGCATTGGTTACTACTTCTGGTAAGTTTTTCCTCGAGTCGATGTTATGTTTCATTGTTTATGCGAGTAGCTGAGCGTATAAGAATATTGTTTTTGAGGTTTTAGAGAGGGAAAGGGTTCTATTGTTTGTCAATATGAAGTTTATGAAGCTTGGATCAAAGCCAGATACCTTTCAGAGCGATGGGAACAATGTGAGGTGAGATCTCTTGGACCCTTTTTGCAATCTATCATTTGTCTCCCCCCCCCCCCAAAAAAAAAAAACTATGTCCACTATGTTGTTCAATCCATTAACTCTTGCATAAGACCATTGAGTGATAATCTTTTGCCTCAGTCAATTATTGTTGTTCATTTCAACCGCATACTCGGATATCCAACAATTGGGGTAACTTAGCCTCTTTGTCTATTATGCTTAAACTAGGAGTCTTCTTGGGACTATACTGAATTTTTCGTCCTTTTCTAGATGACTGTTTATCGGTATGCTGCAGAGCGTTTGATGTGATTCACAGCTTTTGTTGGCCATTGGTTTGTTATGCTCCTCTTTGTGCTACCATACTTAGCTGCTTAGAATTTTTTTAAATGCACCCTCTCATCTCATCATTCAAGTGTTTTCTATCCTAAGTGGTGGATATCCTTGAAAATCCGGCTATTCTTCTTTGGTTTTGACCTCTGATCCCTTTTTCAGTTAAATCCTCTATGGTTCCTTGTGTTTATGTTATACTTTCTGGCCTTCAGCAAATTCGGGTTATACTAAATCTGATTGTGCGTCACGCAAATGGGTTATGAATTCAAATTCACGATCCTTGATATCCAACAATAGGTGGTTTAACTTTTGGTTATGAAGATACGGTTAATCTTCCACTTTTGGTTCTTTATAATCATGTTCTTTCTCATCGGATACTGTGATGTATTCGACCCTGAATTTGTTAAAGCAATAACATACTCAGGAATGCCGTATGAGGTTCAAAATTAAATTAATCATAACAACATCTGATTAAAATTAGATGTGATTGCCCCTTCTTTGGATTCTAATCTTGCCGTGATGAAATCTGAATTCTATTTCTTCATGTACTCTTCTCTGATGTGGTAATGTATTGGTGTCAATTTTGTACTACTTTCTTCAAGTATTTGTATCATGTTTTACGGCTCTCGGTTTATTTATATCATCTATAAGTTAAATACATCTCGTAAATCGTAACCTTGTAGCCTATACATCAGAGCACCACAGGCATCACATGTATTCGTTTTGCTGCTTATTGCGAATGTAAATCGCTTTTTCTTAATTAGATAAATATACCACGGACCGGTGTTTGATTTCTGGTGTAGGTCACTGTGTTGGGTACAACCCGAAGCTAAATACTTTTGAGTATTATAAACGTGAAAATCCATAGTAGAGTTTATATACATGTGTATATAATTTTGTCTGTCTGGCCTGTGTGCATTTTTTGAGGTTCTGATGCTTTTAAACTTATATCTTCGTGCCAGGTATGTGGCAAGCGAGTTGGCAACCGACGTAACTGTCATTGTAGGGGATGTCAAGTTTTATCTGCACAAGGTCTGCATTTTCTTCCGGTTTACGTAAATTTCCATATATGGTCAAGCATCGTCTTTGAACATAACGTCCTTGCTGGAATGTATTACAGTATTCCTTGCATGAAATCTGAACTTATACCTTTATGAATATACATGCAGTTCCCTCTTCTGTCAAAAAGTGCGTACTTGCAAAAGTTGGTTGCAAGTGGAAATCAGGAAAACAATGATGTTCGGATTTTCGACATTCCCGGAGGTCCAGTTGCCTTCGAGATATGTGCCAAGTTTTGTTACGGCATGACTGTCACCCTTAATCCTTACAATGTTGTCGCTGCTCGATGTGCAGCTGAGTACCTAGGAATGTATGAGACTATTGAAGAAGGGAACCAAATTTACAAGATCGATGTCTTCCTCAACTCAAGCTTCTTCCACACCTGGAAGGATTCAATCATTGTTCTTCAGGCCACGAAATCTATGTTACCATTTTCTGAGGACTTGAAGGTGGTCAGTCTTTGCATCGATGCGATAGCTACCAAGGCTTGCATTGGTGTTTCCAAGGTCGATTGGTCCTACACTTATAACCGGAGGAAGCTCCCAGAGGAAAACGGGAACGATCCAAACTCTAATGGTTTCAGAAGCCGACCTGTGCCAAAAGACTGGTGGGTCGAGGATTTGTGTGAACTTGAAATAGATCTGTATAAGCGTGTCATAATGAATATTAAACAAAAAGGAATACTGTCTCATGAAGTGATCGGAGAAGCTTTGAAAGCTTATTCTTACAGAAGGTTGCCTGGCTTCAGTAAGGGTGGGATCCATTCAGGGGATGGCGTTAAGTATAGATCGACAGTTGACACAATTGTCTGGTTGTTGCCTGTAGAGAAAGGAAGTGTATCTTGCGGTTTCTTGCTGAAGTTATTGAAAGCAGCCATCGTTGCTGACTCGGGAGAAATGGCTCAGGAACAACTGGTGAGGCGAATAGGACAGCAATTGGAGGAGGCTTCTGTAAACGATCTTTTAATACGAGCAGGTGAAGGGGAAGATGTAATTTATGATGTTGATATGGTACAGAAAATAGTGAAAGAGTTTCTGATGCAAGATCAAAATGCTGATCTCGAGTCGGAAGAAAATGAGGTCCAGGAAATACTAAGACCTGGAATTTTAACCGATGCTTCCAAGTTGATGGTGGCAAAATTGATAGATGCATACCTTGCTGAAATCGCAAAGGATCCTAATTTACCCTTGTCAAAGTTTGTAGACCTTGCTGAAACGGTGTCTTGCATCTCTCGGCCCGCTCACGATGGGATTTACCGAGCCATTGACATGTATCTCAAGGTGAGAATCTTGCCGAAGTCTATTCTCTGGATGTTCATCAAATCGTAATTACATTATACTCGAACACACGTTTAGCTCTACTCGGCTTCAAGGCAGAAACACCCAGGGATCAGCAAGAGTGAGAGGAAAAGAATATGCAAGTTAATGGACTGCAAGAAACTATCAGTTGATGTATGTATGCACGCCGTGCAAAACGAGAGGCTCCCGATGCGTGTAGTTGTGCAGGTCCTCTTTTTCGAGCAAGTGAGGGCTACTGCTTCATCAGGAAGCAGTACTCCCGACTTACCTAGAGGCCTGAAGGATCTAAACATCGGATCTCAAAGGAGCTCAAGGTCAGCAGCAACCAACCCGGAGGAAGATTGGGATGCAGTGGCCACAGCCGAGGAACTCAAGGCCCTGAAAGGGGAAATAGCCGCCTTGAGGATGGGCAGCGGTATAGGAAGGAGTGAAAGAAACGGTGGTGATAACAGAAATAGCGTCGACAAAGCCACCATTAGTAGAGTGAAAAGTTTATTCAAGTCCAAGAGATATTTTCAAAGATACGGTCAAGCAAAGGTGAAAACAGTGGTTCGGATTCGTCGAAGAGTCTCGGCTCGGCCAATCCTGAAGAAGCGAAATCAACACCATCCAGAAATAGAAGACATTCAGTTTCTTAAAGTAGAAATGCAAGGGAAACATAGTAGGTTGCTTTTTGGTGGGTTTTTCCGGGCTGCTACTAAATTCAAAAACTAGTTTCATGTTGATTTAGCAAAAATGAAAGTCATATATAGTCATGAACCAAACGGTGCTGTAAGGAACAAATGGTTACTGTATAATGGAAGTTGAGGGATGCATCACGAATACACACACAGAGCAGGCAGTCATTCATTGCATGTTGCTTATATTTTAACTGGGAAAGTACAACCTTTGCTACATATTAGTCATGTTGATAATTAAAGGCGTGGTGTCATGGCTTGACATTGGTATGCCTTGATGCCGCTATGACAGCAAAGTATGATACCTCGAGCCATGGGATAGGTGATACACCACCTAGTGGATGGTACGATGTCTCCTCGAGTATGGCTCAAAGTTAACAGACGATCCGTGCTGTTGAGTTACGGAATTAAATTCTAGTTTTCATTAGGCCTCATTTGATCTTCCACCCACAAAATAATGCTTTTGAGATCATGAGATGGTACCAACGTAGATGACCGTTAGATGAGACGAGCGATAGACGGATGAACAACTCTTGGATGAGCAGGTGTGTCGAAGCTGGAACAGTGCACTAGAATATGCCTCGTGACATGAGGATGATGTTGGGTGTCCATGCGTGGGGCGACCGAGTATTGACCTACCAGTGATCCTACTAAGTGGTAGTACACTATCAAGTAATGTCTTTGGCTTCTGGCACATGAGAAGCAATATTTATTCGTGGGCATGGTATTAGGTTCCACCAAGCCGTGAGGCAAGACATCATGGGATGTGGACCTTATTGGTGGATGTTCAAGATTATCCTTGATCATGCCGGTTGTTTGAGGTCTCCTTATAATAAATGTTTAGAGAGTGACAAGAGCACGTAATTTTTTTAAATCAAATCACAAATGATTTCATACGAGAACCATGAAAGACTCATTGGAATACACAAAAAAAATGAGATAATAGATATATAAACGAGAAAAAGGGTGACCCTAACTAAGAGTAAACATGGGTTTGTATATGTATCATTGTGAGATAAATACGAGTGGTCCATGACACTTGACACCTATTGGACAAACCCACTACTTAGCATATGTCAAATTAAGATGGAAGCAATGTTTCTGAGAAAATTTTACGTCTACGTCTTAATCAAAATAATAAACAGTATTACCTATTTGGACTAACTAGTGACATTATTAATTAAAGGGATTAAATTATGCCGAATTAAAAAAAAAAGTAGAGAGATTAAACCCCAAATCTGAGTATAGCAACTAAAATTCGACCCAACAAAAGTAGTGGAAGGCTTTCGGACCACATCCTTGAGTTTGTACTTTTATAGGTGTCTTTGGTATCTCATTTTGCCGTCTGCAGTGATGAAGCCAAAGAAAAAGTTAAAAAGCAATGGTCTCGGATCCCATCACTTTTATGCTTTCTTAAATGGTCTTGACGAAACTGAAATGAAAATGGTGGATCCATCCCTCATGTTGTTTACTCAAGATGACGCTTCAATGCTCCTTATGGTTTTCAAGTTTCCTTCTCGATTTATCTTAAATAGAAAACACAATTTATCCATTTCCATCTCCATTAACAGTTTTGGGAAACAAAATTTGTCCCAACATTCAATATGTTTCAAGCATTGAGAATCTCACCCCAAATGACCAAAAAGAAATTCCCGGACACAGTGGTTCAATCAATAAGGCTTATTCGATTCGAAGAGGAAACATGATTTGTGTTCCTGATTACACTATCAACACAACATCAACGTGGGGATGCAGTTCAATGAATAAAAGAGAAATGGGGAAAGAAGATCATACTACGAAATACATGATAATCAATTATCGGATGAACTTACATATTTATACATACATGCTTCTTTTTACCTAATAAAAGAAGAAGACCAAAAAAATCGGCGAGTTCTTGTATACAGAAATCAGCTTAAGGGAAAGGCCACTTGATCATAAGACAACTGGTTCTAAAACTGCTAAAATGAGAAGACAAACCTAAGATGTATTCAGTCTGCTGTGATTTTGTCCGGTGCTGCCTCCGCCTATTGTAAGAAACATGAGCTCGGGTGTAATGTTAGCGTTTAGGTGAGTTGTCAAAAAAGATTAGTTCTACACATGCGTGGTCAGGTTGCTGGTTGTGGAAATGCGGTTTACTTGTACTATACGCGACCTTAAGCTACAGTCCTTAACCTGTTGAAAATATTCATAATGAGCCGCATGAGCAGATGAAAGCAGAAAAAAGACTGGAACATAAAACAAAACACCATTTTCGACCTGAATGGATGCTATTGTGGACAAAAACTCTTTACATCGTTCAAGCAAAACCTTTTCCTTTGCAGCCAAGCTAACAAGTTCTGCTACCAAAGAATTCATTTCCTCCACCTGCACGGGACAAAAGATAATTAGGTAGATTTGCCCTTTTCAAATGCAAGTTCAGGCCAAACACAAGGAATATATTTCTAGATGGAGATTACTATCTCTTGATAATGAATAATTGTAGTTCCTGTTGACAAAAACGTCTGATCCGATTTTTATATAGGAAAAGCAAGGCAAAGAATCCAATCAGCCGCAAAGGATTTTTCTATCAACTTTCCTTCTTTCAGCATTATCTTTCAGTGAGCAGTTCTCTTTCCCATAACAGAAAGCAACCGAATTGGAATATCGCATCTCTGCTTTTAAGGCCCACTACGGATGGTAACATATATACTTCCACTGTCTATCTAGTTTCACGGCTATTATTTATGGTTGAGTGCTTTAATCTCTCATTTCAGAGAGCTTTCCATTTTCCGCAGCTGTAATCAAATTTTATCTAATTGTCAATTAAGAGCTAACTATAGAGCTCTGAGCCTCTGACCACGACTTCACAAGTTACAACTGGCTTGTAAAGAACTCAAGGATTAGAAACAAATACCACATAAAATAACTTAATGGTTTTTATTTTGGAAGGCTAATGTCCAGAAAATTGAATTAATGAATTTTACCTTGGATGATAGTGAGAATACTGAAGATGCCATTGCCTGCATCATCTCAATTGCTGAACTGACAGCATCCTTCAGATTTTGGATATCAACCTATTATAAGAGAACAGAAAGACAAAACAAGAGCAAAATTTTAAACCACACTGATAGTCACTAACTGAATCATTAACACATTGCACATTGAAAAGTAGAAGGAAAAAGAGGAAGAAACTTACTGTGGCTTTTCCAACAATTGGAAGTCGAAGAGTACTAGCCTTTAAAGCTTCAGTTGCTCCTAGCAAGGAGCTAGAGTGATCTCTTTCGAGAAGGGCCCACACTTCTAAATGAGCTATCTACATTCACCAATTATAAATTTATGTCATGGCGACAATTCATGCTATAAAAGCCAGCATCTTGTAATGGAGATTGGGAAGGATTAGGCCTGTTCTAACTTGCACGGAGTGAGGAAGGGCAACAGAAGATCTAAGGACAAGTCATATTATCGAACCACCACCAGCCGTTTACGTTTTGGGAATGAAATATAACAGTAAAAGGATTCCTCTTCTTGACTAGGTTTCTTTTTTGCTTTCTGACTTCCTCCAAAACCAGAAGGTGCACGAAATTTAAATATAAATCCAACAGTGACCAGTTCTCTACGGAAGACGAGAATAATATATGGAATTTTCTTCATCTTTTTTTTTTGCCATGTTTTATGTGTATTAATCAGTAAAAATATTGAGTACCGACTCATTTCATGGTGTAATGGAATTGTAACTGCTCCTAAGCAGATTTCAAAATATTAAAGGCCAGGCAGCCCACTTTGACCATTGCAAGAGACTTATTAAAAGTTATTCATTATAAGGTCAAGTCCTACTTTGGTAAATCCATTGATACAAAAATGAAATACATGCATGATACGATAAATACATTTGTTTGAAGAAGTCTACAGGGGTTTAGTTCAATCCTTTGAGAAACTTGAAGTTGTGAAACTTACTTGTCTTTTCAGGATGGAAGTCAAGTTCAACTTTTGCCTCAGCAATAGCAACTTAATTCTCTTGAGGGTGACAGAATGCCGCAGTTCTGATGTTGTTACCCTTGCATTCCACAGATTTTTCTGATACAAAAGAAGGAAACATTGGAGATACTTGTTAGAAATCATGTTAAACCTCAACTCACGATTATTATTTTCTATTTTTATACTAAACTGATAATTGCACCAAATGGTTGATAAAAAATATTAACCGTCAAATTACATTAAAGTCCTAACTATGTTTATTCGGCAGTTTATCAGGTGGTGATATTCCTACATCTACATCATTTGTTTCCGAGTCTACCCAATCTCATAAGGATAAAATCTGGCTTCATCATCGCTGTTTAGGTCATCAGTCTTTTAGGATAATCCAGTTTATGTTTCCTTCTTTATTGAGCAGTTTTGCTCTTGATTCTTTTCATGGTACTGATTGTGAAATAGCCAAAACACAAACGGGCTTCATTTCCTCTTAGTAATAAAATAACTCTTGTTCTTTTAGTCTTATACATAGTGACATTTGGAGGCCAGCAACTGTTGTCAATGTTTTTGCTGCTCCATAGCTTGTTTCTTTTATAGATGATTGTATTCGTGTCAGATGTATCTATCTCCTCAAACATAAATCTGATGTGAGCAAAGTCTTTCTTAACTTCTATAATATGGTTAACACTTACTTTGGTACCAAAATGAAGAGATTTCGTTTTTTTTTTTATAGAATAGGGAGACATCATTAAAACCCCCCTTCATACTCAACGAAATATGAAAGTTTCGTCGAGCATTGGAAGGAGGAAAAGAGTGTCTCATAATTTTATTGAACAATCATAACAATACATCTTAGGTAACACCAGAGCCTTACTTCCACTAGAAATCAAACAATACAAAACCCCCCAAATCTAACACAAAATGCCTACACACAGCCCCACTCATCCAATACCCTCTTTTGTCAACTTATCCGCCTCCCAATTAGCCCCTCTGAAAATATGCCTTATCATCACATTCAACAATCAGTCTTCCTGTACCACTCCATTGAGAATAAAAAAAGAGATTCAAACCCCTTTTAATTGCCAACAATTCAGCAGCTGTAGGAGGCCCCTGACTAACTGCCTCAGAGAATGAAGCCAACAAATAACCCCCTGAATCTTTAATAATCCCTCCAATGCCCCCTTTCAGCCAATCATCAGTGACAGCACCATCCACATTCAATTTTAAAAAGCCTGCAGGAGGCGGAACCCACCTAAACCGATATAACACCTTGCTCCCCTGTCTACCACACCTATCTGCAATAGAAGGATCCCCCATAAGACAGTCAAACAACCCCAAAAATTCTTTATGTTTTGCCGAGAACCAGGCCACCAACCTATATCTTGCAAGGAAGAAAAGATTAATCCGGTCCAATGACCCTCCCTCAAACACTAACTTGTTCCTATACTTCCAGATAAACCACAAACAGCACCAGAAACAACTTCCAAATTTCAGAATTCCCAACCAACCCCCACCAATCTTGCAGAAAAACATCAGGTTCAAAATGTAAAGAGGATTGAAGATTCCAAAACCGCAAAAACCCACACCACAACTCCCAAGAAATATTACAGGTAAAAAATAAATGCGATACCGATTCAGGAAACAACCCGCATAGCGGGCAAAGCGTATCCTCTATACCTGGAATTTTCCTTTTCACTAACTCACTTCACATCCAGCTTTTTAATCATAACCTGCCAAAGGAAAGATTCCACCCTCGGAGGAACAAGGCCACTCCAAACCATCCAATTCCAATTTTGTTCAATCCCCAATATCTCGGACCATCCCTTCAAACAGGACCTCACCGTAAAGACCCCATCACCACATCCTTTCCGTAATAAGCAATCAACTCTACTCTTGGTCAAATTTCACAGAATCCAATAAATTTATAAATTCAATCCACATCAACTTCCCAATCCTCTGAATTCCTCCTCCATTTGATATCCCATATCCAAGATGAAGAGCAGAAAGAGCCATAATCTGAAATTTTCCCCTCTTTATTAACATATAAAGCAAACATTCTTGGAAACCTTTCCTTTAGTGACACCCTATCAATCCACACGTCATGCCAAAATGTAATAGATTTTCCATCCCCAACTTTCAAAACCAACTTATTCCGAGTAGCCTCACCCATCACATCCTTTTTCATCCAACTTTGGGCAACATTCTTCCACAACCAAGAAGCTTGGGTTGGGACCTCCTTCAATAAAATTTCATTACAATCCACATTATATTTACAACAAATCAAATGTTTCCATCCTGAATCTTTTTCAGTCAAAAATTTCCAGACCCATTTGCCTAATAAAGCTTTATTCACCAACTACAGATTAGGTATCCCCAACCCTCCACAACTCTTAGGCAAACATACAGAAGACAACTTCACCCAATGCAACTTTTTCCTCTCACCCGACCCTCCCCACATGAATCTTGCCATAATAGAATTTAAAACTTTCAAAACCGATGCAAAAGATTACTTTTACCAATTCTTTTAACAATTTTTCAGAAAGCAAGAATTATTCATGAATCTTCTTGTGTTACAACCTCAGAGCAAAATGGTGTAGCCAAACGGAAAAAAAATCATCTCCTAGAAGTCACTTGAACCTAATTGTTTCATAAGCATGTTCGACTGATGTTCTCATAGGGTTTTTTCCCCAACTTCTCAGCCTCTAATAATCTTATCCCTTGTATTTTTTAGGTGTATTGCCTTTGTTCATATTCATTCTCACCTTAGAGGAAAATCAGATCTGCTACCCATCTAATAATCTTTGTTGGGTATTCCTCTACTCAAAAGGTTATAAATGCTATCACCCACCTTCTCAAAAAAATTGTCTCAACTGATGTCGTTTTTGTCGAAAATGATTCTTTTTTTTCATTCTGCTCATCTTCAGGGGAGACTTTGAATGAGGATGACACTGACAGTTCTTGATCCTAATTATCTTTCTAAGTCTACCTCTTTATAGTCTACACCAATCCTTTGCGAACCACCATTCCCTGAACCTGAGCCTACTACTCCACTAAACAAGTCAGCTAAGTCTGTTGAAATGATGGAAGATGAAGGAAATCAAGAGAGGAAAATACAGCTTTATTCCAGGAAGAAGGTATCAATCTCTCGCCAGGTACAAGTACAATCTCATATTCGTGTTATTGTACACTCACCAAAAATTGTTTCTTTTTTTCTTATAAGAAAAAGGCCTTGTTAAAAAACCCCTTCATAACCGTTAAGCTACAAGGTATCTTGACGGACATTGGAAGGAGAAAAAGAGTGCCCACGTTTTATTAATAGAAACATAGAGTACAACCTAGGTAAACCCCCCAGATTACAACCTTTCTCATAAACCAACACCTCTCCCCTCAAAGGATAACTTACACACCAAACAAAGACCAAAAACAACAAAAACACAGCCTACATTACCCAATACCCGCCTTAGCTAAACCATCAGCTTCTCAATTAATACTTCTCTTAACAAACCTTAACATCACATTAGAATCCAACACACTCTTAGCTAATTCCTTAACCAGAATGCTAAACACAACATGACTATCTTCAGGGTTATTAATCCAACTCACAGCTACCAAAGAATCACTCTCCAAAATGAGACGCCCCTTATCTTTCCACTTCGAGTCTAAAAACATCTTCAACTCAGCTTGAATTGCTTCGAGTTCAGCAAGGACCGGAGGACCAGGTCCAGACGCAACCGAGAAAGACCCCATCTGCTTACCTTCAGCATCCCTAAGCAACCCACCGATACCACTGCACCTCCAATCATAGCCCACTGCCCCGTCCACATTTACTTTAAACCACCCCGAAGGGGGTGGACACCAACCTGTCAATGGAGGAGATCTCTTCAACGAACCATTGTGCATATCGGCCAACATTAGGTCACCTACATGAAAATCAAGTGCAACAGGAAACCCGAACTTCTTTGCCAAGAACCAAGCAGCCACCCTATATCTAGCCAGAAAAAAACATATAGATTTGATCCAAACTTCCATTTTCAAATACCATTTGATTCCTACATTTCCAAACGGACCACATTACAACACCCGTAATAAATTTCCAAATCTCAGATTTCGAAATTAAATCAGCCCAATAGAATATGAATTCCTTGGGACTATTGGGCAAGGCTGAACATACATTCCACATCCTCAAGAACCGCACCCACAAACCCCAAACTGATCTACAAGAGAAGAATAAATGACAAACAGACTCAACTTCCAAACCACACAATGGGCACAAAGGATCGTCAACACCGCTTACGCCCCGCCTAATTAAGGCAAACTTAACTGCCATCTTCTGGTAAAAAATCTACCATAAAAAAACTTCAACTTTAGGAGGAGCAAAATCAGCTCAAACAAACTTCAACCAGAGCAAATCCGGATCCGAAAAACTTGTAGCTACTTTAATACACGATTTAACTTAGTATACTCCTTCCCCATTCCCTCTCCAAACACAACAATCATCATCACCCACACCAACACTAACTTTATCCAATAACGATAATAATCCAATCCATTGATCCACTTCCCAATCTAACAAATTCCTCCTCATCTGGATGTCCCACACCCATCTTTCATTAATCAGCGACCCAAAATCTGCTATAACTCCATCCTTGTTAACCGAGAGTGCAAAGAGCCTAGGAAATTTCATCCTCAGAGGAAGGCTGCAAAGCCATCCATCCAAACAAAATATAGAAACGAATTCCCTTTCCCAACTTGCATCACCAAATGATTGCGTAACCCTTGGCTAAAAGTGTCATCTGACCAGAAGTTATTGAAAACTCATTTCCAAAGCCAAGAAGAATGGGCGGACATATTTTTTATCCAACCATATCTCTCTTCTATCCAATTTGTACTTGGAGCACACCATCCTTTTCCACCAGGATTCTTTCTCGCTTCCAAATTTCCAAACCCATTTACCTAATAAAGCTTTATTCATAAGCTTTAAATCAGTAATCCCCAACACCCCATACTCTCTTTGTTTACAGACTTTCGACCAATTAACCCAATGAACTCTACTTCTCTAAGTTGTGCTCCCCCCATAAAAAGTTTGTCATAACTGAATTCAACGTTCTATTAATGCCAGAAGGCAATTTGAACAAAGACATATAACAAATCAGAAGAGATAAAAGGACAAATTTCACCAGCACAACCCTTCCAGCAAGGGAAAGCGTCGAAGCTTTCCATCCAGCCAACTTCTGATAAATTTTATGGATAATCGACTCCCATAACACTGTCGAATTCAACCTAGACCCAAGAGGAAGCCCGAAATACTCCGTCGGAAAAACATCAGCCAAACACCCAATAGACTTGGCCCAATCATTGACAATCGAGACCTCCAAATTAATCCCAAAAATCTTGCTTTTCGAGAGATTTAACTGTAACTCAGTGCACATCTCAAAAACAACCAAAACTCTCTTAACATTCTTCAATTGCCCTTTTGATACACCACAAAAAATTAGTAAGACATCAGTAAATTGCAAATGAGATAACAAAAACGAATTACTTTCGCAACCAATCTGAAATCCATTAAACAATCCGAACTCAATCGCCTTTGACAGTAAAGGATTAAGCAACTCTCCCATTAAGTTAAATAACATCGGCGATAAAGAACATCCTTGACGTAATCCCCTTGATATATTGAAACTTTATGTCGGAGATCCATTAACAAGGACTTAAATAGTTGTTGTGGATATGCACTCGAAGATCCAAGAACGTCATTTCTGTCCGAAAAATCTTCATCAAAACAGCCAATCAACTGAATCATAAGCTTTTCTGAAATCCACTTTGAAAGCAATACCTCTCATTCCTTTCCTCCTCTAATAATTGATGCCTTCATTCGCTATAAAGGAGCAATCGCAAATCTGCCTCCCTGGGACCGATTAACGAATCTAAGCACACCCTTAACCTTTTTTATAGCACTTCCGACAAGATCTTATACATCCCTCCTACCAAGCTAATTGGCCTATAATCCTCAATTCCAACCGGATTAGACTTCTTCAGAACCAGCGTAATAAACTAATGGTTCACACCATTTCGCAGCTTCTTCCCCGAGTAAAAATCTTCAAAAAACTTCAGAATATCTTCCTTTAGTGACGACCAAAATCTTTTAAAGAACCCCATGTTCAAACCATCAAGACTCGACGCCTTATTGCTATCTGACGAATTAATAGCCTCCCAAATAGGCATGTAAACGAACCGAACGCACACGAACGGATGTATGTTCATGTTCGTTAATTTAATAAATAAACGAACATAAACGAACACGAACATAAACGAACAAATTTTTTTTGTTAATGTTCGTTCATTAAGGAATATAGCTTGTTCATGTTCGTTCATTTAATAAATAAACGAAAACAATAAACGAACTCAATAAACGAACAACACAAAAAAAAACTTATTCGAACACTACAAACGAATGTAAAAAAAAGTAAACAACAAGAATAACAACTTAAAATTCATTAATATAACCTGCAACTTTAGAGTTAATTTGTTCGAATACGACAAAAACATACATGAATCATAAATAAGCTATATGAACATAATTAAGTCTTAAAGTTAATTTGTTCAACAAAACAATCTTCTTGAAATCCAAACAACTTCAATAACCTTCGTAACATATTCAACTTGCCCTCTGTTCGAACATAAATGAACATAAATGAACGAACATATAATCGAACGTTCACGAACGTAAATGAACGAACGAGCCCTTTGTTTATGTTCGTTCATTTAATTAAACGAACGCAAAATCTTGTTTATGTTCGTTCATTTAATAAATAAACGAACATAAACGAACTTCCCGCCGCACGGTTCATGAACGGTTCGCTGAACATTCAGTTCATTTACAGGCCTACTCCCAAACTTCCTCCTCTGAAAACTTCCTTTCCAACAATGAACATTGATTCTTGGTTAAATTATTGAATGACAAATCAAACTCCACCACCTCCAAAGTTGGCTTCAAATTGTAAGCTTTCTTGAAAAACACAAAAACGCTAATTTTTATCTCACCCGAGTTCGAAACGACCATACCATTCACTTCCAAGACCTTCAGGGCATTAACTCTTCCCCTATTTGATGCACACTGGTGGAAATATCTTGAATTTTGATTGCCGTCTTGAATCCACTTCGCTCGAGATTTCTGAAACCAAATATGTTCCTCTTTTTTGTACAATGACCACAACTCCTTCTTGGCTCTCGCAATTGACTCCGTCGATACCAGAGCAGACACCTGCTGCATTGCTGCCTCCATTTCAGAAATTGATTTTTCCAGGCTCACAATCAAATTCGGCAGCTTCAAATGATTATTAGAGGACCAACTTTTTATTGCTTTCTTCAATTCTTTTAACATATTTTCAATTCCTTTTCTTTTTTCCTTCTTCACCTCCTTAATCTTCAACTCCAACATCTCTTGGAAACCTGCCTCATCCATAAGATATTGAACATTTTAAAAGGTTTCAGACCCCAATCAGCCTCACTCCTCTCCAACACCACTGCATTATGGTCCGATAATGACTTTGGAAGTAGGACCTGAGCAATATCTGAAAACATCGCCATAAAATCTGCGTTCACTAGAAATCTATCCAATCTAACAAACGAAGGGTCATCCCTACTGTTGTTCCACATGAAGCTGCCACCCGCCAACGGTAAGTCCACCAACTTAGCCTGAAAGACAAACTCCCTAAAAACTCTCAACGAATGCATATTCTGCGATTTACCAATTTTCTCCTCTTGATAAATACGAATTAAAATCGCCACCCACACGTAACGGACATCCCACATCGCCTAAGAAATTGAGCAATTCCTCAAAAAAGGCCTCCTTTTCCTATTCAATAATAGGTCCGTACACGTTAACTAAGCAAACACTCTCTTGACTATCCTTGAATTTCCCTTTTATTGCCACGAACTGTTAACTAAGCAATAATAATAACTAAAAAAAACAGATTCCATCTCTTCTAAACTGAATGGCAATACCACACCAAATATAGAGCTAGAAAATGAAAACCCAAACACTAATGACCTACCCATTGCTTGCACGAAACATCCACTATATCTCTTCTTGTCCTATCAGAACCTATCCCAAAATCATAAAAAATTCCTAACCAATCTTCACACAATACTCGTACCAGAAAACATGATTGAGGCATAAGCAAATAAGAGGTGGGAGGATGCTATGAAAACGAGAATGACAACCCTTGAAAAAAAAGACATGGGAGATTTTTACTCTTCGAAAGCATGACAATATATTGCCTTAAGACCCTCTTCTGTCACTAAATCTAGTCTCTTAGCAAATATAAAAAGGACAACTAGAAATGATACACTTTCTTAGGAACTATGGGTAATTCATGCAGCCAGAAACGAATAACTAAATGAAATGCAACTGGTGCATGAATTCAACAATATAGCACCCAAAAAATATTATATAATAACATATTGGACTAAGTACATGATACTCTCCAAGGGATATCATAATGCAAGAACTAAGTTGCCATTTAAGGGGTACCATAGGCAATCTTATTTGCCAAACTAATATTGGTGAAAAAAATTAAAGCATTCATCAAATAGATATTCAAAAATGATGAGATGGAAAGGGAGGGTAATTATACCTCAGCACTCAGTTTCAGCGTGATGAAAGTAGCATCTGCCCTTGAATTTGCAAATCTCCATTGCAAATAACCATTATAAAAAAGCCTCAACATGTGAGCATCAACAATTCGATCCTCTCCCTTCTTTCCTCTCCGAATATCAACAGAAAAGCTAAGGATCGAAGGGGTGTTAACAGCAGTACCACTCATCTCTTTACTACCAACTGCATTTCTAACCCGACCAGGACTTAGCCCTCTTGATGGAGACGAACTCGAAGATGTCCAAAGCTTACTAGGAGAAGCAGGTCCTATACTACGTCTCATAGGAGAAGCCACTGCACCATCACAAGAAATCCTTCTTGATTGACTAAACTTAGCTGGAGAACCAATTCTAGAACCCGGGCTTGAAGACAATGGTGAACCCGGGTCCTGCAACCACCTTAACCGGCTATTAGTTTCCTGCCAAAACCTTGCAGACACGGCAATATTACTGAGTCCATTCTTCCCTTTCAAATTCCCACTTCTGCCGGTTCCAGAATTGGTGCTCCCAGAAGATATACTATCTGTATCAGATGCAGCAAGTTCACAATGAGCCTCATTTAAAGAATTGGAATCTGGGTTTTGCTTATTGGCTTCTTTTATTAACTCGGAACTTCCCAAATCCAAACTCAATCTACTACCACCATCAAAGGAAACCCTCCTAACACTCTCATCAAGCATCACCGATTGTTGCAATGACTTAGCTAACACTGCCCCAGATCCGAAAACCTTCCTTTCACTGCCACAAACCAAACTCCTATGCAACGGATTCGAAGCTGAACCGGAACCCGGAGTCATTTGACGTGTTCTCCCGGGCCAGAGTTGCTGATCCGCCGGCTTCGAGTTCTCCCCGTGATCTCTCAGCGGAGTAGCTCGACGTCTCTCAGGAGTCACTTTCCTTATCAAAGTAGAACCCACTGGAGCCTTTGTCTTACTGATCGGAAGCGAATAGGCTTCCCCTTGAAAAGAAACCGACAAACTTCTCGTTGAAGTAATCAACATCTTGGTAGCAGCTGACATTTCCGCGGTGCCATTAACATTATTTCCTTGCGACAATTGACTCCCCGGCCGCCTCCGGTCGACGGATTGAGACCGTTTGTGAAGCAAAGACGAAGTCGTTGAAGTAGAACTAGCGTTTGTTGAACGAGAAACAAGCGGAGAATGAAATCTCGTGGCCGTTTTGCTACCCATCGACATCGTATTAGTGGAACGAGAGTTAAGCGGCGAAGGAAATCTCGCCGGCGTTTTGGCTGCTGCTGCTGCTGCTGCTGAAGAAGATGTGGAAGGAGACGGAGACAAATACCTCGAAGAAACTTGTCTAACTCTGGGTTTTCTCGTAACAGTTGAGCCATTGTCTTTGAGAGGAGACCTTTTAGCTGTTCCAACTGTTGGGTTTTCTCTTTGATGGGTATTTGTTTCTTGTTGCGGTTCTTCAACGGAGGAATGTGAAGGAGTTGGTGGACGAGACAATGCAGCCACCATCATCAGAGACTGCGAATAAATCTAAATTCTTTTCCACGTTGCTTTGAAAGAAACTTTTGTATATTAATTGGCGATGAGCGTCTCCATTTCCATGGCTAAAAAACTTGGGAGAAAACAAAGGATTTTAGGTGATCTAGACCAGTGTGAAAGGGCAGCCATACAGGGTTTTTGAAGGATCATCCATTTTTACTTCAACAACAGTGAAACCCACACAGCCTTCTTTCTGGGTTTACAGAGATGGAGAGGAGAGGAGAGGAGATTTGGGGGAAAAACGGAAAAGAAAGAGAGAATCAGCTGAGCTTTGGGTTTTTACGATACTTTGTAAAACGATTGTTAGGTTTAATTAAATTACCAATTGTAAAACGTTAGGTTTTTACGAATCTTTGTAACTTGCATATGATTTTTATACACCATTAACTTCAAATCTCTTACAGCTTCAATTACAAGCATGCATCGGTATCAATATCACAACCATTAATGTAAAATAAAAATGAAATTATAGCAAATTAATTAGGAATAAAATCTTTAAAAGAAATATTAAGACCCTTTGTCATAATCACAGCCTTTCGATCTAATCTCTCTTTTTTTTGGTAAATAGATATAATATCACTTTAATTAAGCTTTCATAAATCAAATCAATGACTACCAAAAACAATAACCAATTGTTTATTGATATTATATTTGAGGTTTAATTCCATATTTTGGGGAAAAAGAAAGAATATCAATTTTCTCAAGAAACAAACAGCAGACAAGATTTACCTTTAAATATGTGCTGTTATAGAGAAAGTACCATGGGAAGAGGAGAGACATGAAATATTTTGGTTGTATCAAATGAAATATTATAGCAAACAAATTTCATGTTTTTAAAGGCATGTATAGTTACGGGTGTTCAAAAATACCCGACTCAGTTGACTCGATCCGTCGACCAACGGATTCGAACTAAAAAATCGAGTATTTTAAAAAAACCAACCCGATAATTTTTGGATCGAATCCGGGTCACAAAATTACATTTTTTTCGGATAGCAGTTACCCGAATACCCAATTATATTTATTTTTTTATATATTACAATATTACATATTTAATTATTAATAATTTTATATATGAAATTAAACTAATAAAATTAAAAAAACACCCACCCAATAGTTGTATGTTTAATAATTAATATAACATTTTTAATAGTATAATTTTTATTTTTTTTAAAAATTAATAATTTGAAAATGATAAAAAATCATGTACCTAATTACTCGAATTACGGGTACCCGCAATATCCGGGTCGAGACACAGGTTAGAAAATCAAGTACCCGAATTTGAATACCCTTATCTAAGTTTTGGTCCTCATATTATACATAAATTTTAAATTTAATTCTTTTATTTTAATTCGATACAATTTATCTCTTTATATTCACAACTTAATAGGTTCAAACTGATAGTATCTTAACAACATCATCTAAACAAAAATAAGTTAAACCATTTGACAACAATATAAATTAGTTATTAATTGAATATGGTTAACTATATTTTCATGTGATTCCAATAATGTCACGAAAACCTATTAATAAGCTTATAAGAGTAAAAGACCAAATATTACTAAGTTGAAAGAATATGGATTAACTATCAAATTTCAACATAGTGTAAGGACTAAATTATATTATATATTAAGAAGAAAAAAGTGAAGACAAAAAGAATGCATAGTGATTATTGGGAGCAAAGTCATGTACCATAACTCATTTGTTTAATTAGAGATTAATATAAAGATGCGATGTCCCTCTTGAAATCTCCATTTCCCTTGTTTCCAACGCTTATGAAGGGTCCAATGTGTCTACAGCTTCCAATAACATTGAATTCTCATAAATAGGTTAACAAAACCGGTAAAGCGTCTAATATTAATAAAATTAGTAGAAATAATAATGTTTTCGATAATTAAGCTTTCAGAGATCTAATTGTTACCTTTAATGTTGACTTAATTAACAATAAAACAATCTTAATAAAATATAACATGAAATAAAATAAACAGAATTAAACTTTGATAGCATGAGAAATGTTAGATTTTATAAAGACTATAGTGATAAAGGTGTTGTCGTACTTTTAAAAAATTTAAATTTTTGTATGATTTAAATATTTTTTTAATATTTTTTATTAATAATCTAATTTTATATTCTTAAGTTTTTAATATAATATTTTAAATTTGCATCTTTTAACATGAAATCGTACGAGTACATATTATTAAGTTTTAATACGTTGAAAAAAGGTGTGAAGATATCTTAAAAGCCAAAATGAAGTTGACTTAAATGTATGTGAAATCATCCTATGAAAGTGGAAACAATGATATTAGAAAAAGGGCACTTCTAATCATATGAAAATGACCCAAATGCGTTTTCACTTGTTATCACTTTTCCTTCTAACGGGTAGTTCCCCCTTTCAATAATATATATAATTTGTTGTGTGATCCATGTGTTTAATTCTGTTATGGCTTAAATATACCTAATGTATGATTGGTTCTAGTTTGGTGTTTAACGTTTTATTTTGTTACTTAAAATGAGTCACGTCATGACGGACCGTTAAGTTTGGTCGTTAAGTGACATGTGTCACAACCTGATAATTTTAAAAAAATTATTTAAAAATTAAAAAAATTAAAATGATATATATGCTTTTTTTTAAACCCAAATTTTGAAATAAGCTCAAAACTTTGAAAACCTTCATTTCAACCCTTAAATCCACGCCGACCGTCGCCTTTTGTCGTCGGCGAAGCTCCATCCGACCTCCCCTCCCCTCGGTAACCAAACCCCCATGAAATAGTGATCGATCAACGGTCGATCGGCATCGACCGTCAAAATTACGTGGGATCGCGATTTTCATCCTAGGGTTCGTGGGTTTAAAACATTGATTCGTCATCGATCGACCATCGATCAGTTAATATTTCATGAGGGTTTTGGTTGTCGAGGGGAGGGGAGGTCCGACGTTGGTTTAGGGGTTGAAATGAAGGTTTTTAAAATTTTGGGTTTATTTCAAAAAAAAATATTTTCTTTTTAATATATATATATAATTTTATTTTTAAAATTTTAAATAAAAAATTTAAAAATTATCAGGTTGTGACACGTGTCACTTAATAGGAAAATTAACGTTGTTGATGGCCCGGACACCTAAATGAGTAACGAAATGAAAAATTAGACACCAAACTAGAACGAAATAAACGTTAGATACTAAACTAAAACCAAAGGCATATGTTAGGCACCTTTTAAGCCTTCTTTTTTCATCTCCCTGCTTTCTACATTTGGGTGCAAGGCTTACATCATTCATTCTCTTCGTGTTTTTTTAGTTGTACTCATGCGTGTTGGTCCCTAGAGAGATATAAGGCATCGTATATGTAGCCTGTAGAGGACGAGTAACGGCAAACATTGTAAACACCTAATTAATTGGAGTCTCGTTGTTATAAGGAATGAATTAAGGTGTAAATGAGATGATGAGATAGATGTGTGAGTTATTCGAGATCGATTCAGTTAAAGTTTAGTCAACTCTCAAATCCAATAGACTCGAACTTGAATGTGACTTAAATTCTTAATGAGTCAAAGCGAGCTATTTGATACTCTACTCGAAAAGCTCTTAAGAAACTCAAAAGAATAATATATTAAATTTTAATTTTTTTAAATTAAATTATAAATAATATTAACATTTATATAGTGTTATATTTTTAGGAAAATATAATTTCATGTACTTAAGAAGTTTTTGGTTTGAGTTCAAGTTTGAGATTCAATCGAACTAATTTTGAGAATATTTCAAGTTTAAATTTTTTTGAGCTTTGTTGGAATGATGATATACAAAGAAAGAGTTATTTCTGGAAAACTCTACTTTCATTGCTGAATAATATCCAATTTATACATTGTGTGCAGCTGTAGCTAACTGATTCACTAACAAATTTGCTAACAAATTACTAACTAACTAACAACTGACTCATTTAGCTAATGCCACATGTATAGTACAGTTACAGTCGATTATAGCTAGCTAAGTGAGCTAAGTGCTGATTTGCTTCTGTTGATGACTTGTTTCTGGTGGACTGCCAACATTCTCCCTACCTCTTCTCGTCTTCTTGTTAAAAAACACAAACACACACTTTGGACCGGAATTCCACAAAAGCAGCTCGAGCAAGCGGCTTGGTGAATCCATCAGCAATCTGGTGCATTGCAGGAACATAGCTTACACACAGCTGACCAGCTGCTACTTTCTCACAAACAAGATGAATGTCCAGGTCCACATGCTTGGACTGTGCTTGGTAGACGGGATTAGCGCTCAAGGCCACTGCACTGGTGTTATCGCACCAGACAACCGGTTCATGATCCTGCTGGATTCCGAGATCAGTTAGGAGCGCATTTATCCATTCTATATCTGTTACTGCGTCTGTTACACTTTTGTATTCAGCCTCCATAGTGGATCGGGAGACTTTCCTTTGTTTCTTGGAGAACCAGGTAATCAAACATTTACCTAGGAAGATTCAATACCCGGTTATAGACCTTCGATCATCGATGTTGGCTCCCCAATCCGCATCAGCAAAGGCAACCATATTCAATCTACTGTCAACAGGTGAAAACAACAAGCCAAAGTTTAGTTTTGCACATAGGTATCGGAGTATCTTTTTTACTGCAACATAATTTGCTTCTAGTGGAGCTTGCATAAACTGGGCAACTTGAGCCACACTAAACGATATGTTTGGTCGTGTATGACATACATATAACAGTGATCCCACAATACTTCTATAGTCACTAGCATTGCTTAGAAGATCATCTGCTTCATGAGAAAGTTTAGGCGACACCACCATAGGTGTGGAACATCCAGTAGCTGTCGACATCCCTGTTTTTTTAATAGTTCGAGCACATACTTCTTCTGGCTCAAGAAAAGTGAACCATTGTTACGTTTGACTTCAATGCCCAAGAAGAAGCTCAATTCACCCAGGTCCTTAAGTGAAAACTGTTCTTGTAGCATGGTCACGACTTCTTGAATTAAATTAGACGACTGACCGGTGACAACTATGTCGTCTATGTATACCAGTATATAAACTTGTCCTTTATGAGAATTCTTTACAAACAACGATGGGTCAGCTCAAGAAGCAGTGAACCTCATTTGTAGTAGGTTATCTTTGAGTTTTTCATGCCAGTTGCGAGGAGCTTGTCGAAGACCGTATAATGCCTTTTAAAGCTTGCAAACGAGGGGTTTTTCATCCTCATCAAATTGTTCAAAACCAGGAGGTTGACGCATATAAACATCCTCACTGAGATCT